AGCTTCATTAGGAGGAGATTCATCACCATAACAGTTTCATTTGGAACTTACCTTGGCCAGAAAACTCATTCCGGTCAAGTTACTACAAAGCTCAAGCTTTTTCCTGAAAAGTATCTTAGTCAACATATATGCTACATTCTTATCAGTATGAACTTTCTTCAATAACATCTGTTGTTCTTCAATCACTAAACGTAACTAATGATATCTAACATCAATGTGCTTTGTTCTAGCATGGTACATGATATTCTTACTCAAATCTAAAGCACTCTGGCTATCACAAAATACCACATACTCTTTTTGATTCAACCCCAATTCAAGAAGAAAACGTTTCATCCAAAGTATTTCTTTACATGCTTCGGTTGCTGCAATATACTCAGCCTCTGTAGTTGACAAAGCAACACACTTCTGTAACTTAGATTGCCAAGATACAGCTCCTCCTGCAAAAGTGAATAAATACCCTGAAGTAAATTTTCCACCATCAAGATCGTCTGTCATGTCAGCATCAGTAAACCCTTTTAAAACTGGTTGTAAAACTCCATAAGTCAAGCACATTTTTGAGGTACCCCTCAAATATCTAAAAATCTATTTCACTGCTTCCCAGTGAACCTTTCCTAGATTAAAAAAAAATCTGCTCACTACACCAACTGTATGAGCAATGTCAGGCCTTGTATAAATCATAAGATACATTAAAGAACCTACTGCAGAAGAATAAGAAATATTAGACATAGCTAGTTGCTCTTCCTTAGACACTGGACAAGATTTCTTACTTAGATGAAAATGATTGACAAGTGAACTGCTAACTGATTTAGCATATTACATGTTGAATCTACCAAGCACTCGTTCAACATACTTTTTCTGTGATAATCACAGCTTTCCAGCTTTTTTATCTCGGATAATATCCATACCAAGAATCTGCTTTGCTGGACCTAAATCCTTCATATCAAAAGACTTAGACAATTGTTCTTTTAACCTGTAAACCATACTAGCATCTTGTTCTATAATCAACATATAATAATAGGATAATGAAGTTACCATTAGAAAATTGTTTAACATACACACAAGAATTCGCTGCTATTCTTTTATAGCTATGACTCACCATAAAAGAATCAAACTTTTTGTACCACTGTCACGGAGCTTGTTTCAAGCCATACAAGTTTTTCTTCAATTTGCAAACTAAGTGCTCTTTTCCTTTCACTTCAAAAACCCTCAGGCTAATTCATATAAATGTCTTCCTGCAAATCATCATGCAAAAATACAGTTTTAACATCAAGTTGCTCAAGTTCAAGATTCAAACTAGCTGTTAATCCCAGTACCACTCGAATAGAACTCATTTTTACAACTAGAGCAAAAATCTCATCAAAATCGATGCCTGGTTTCTGGAAAAACCTTTTACTACCAATTGAGCTTTGTACCTCACTAGTTTATCACCATCTTTTTTCAACTTGAACACCCATTTATTCTTTAATGGCCTCTTCCCTATTAGAAGTTTAACAAAATCATAAGTACCATTCTTTCGCAATGACTCCATCTCTTCTTTCATTGCTTTTAACTAGTACTTTCTATCCGAAGTAGCCTACACATCTTGAAAGCTTTCTGGCTCCCCTTCACTGTAGCTAAAATAAAATTTGAACTTGGATACCTGGTAGATGGCCTGCGCTCTCTAGTAGATCTCTTGGGCTGAGACTCTACATCACTTGATGTCGAAGGTAGCTCCCCCTGCTCAACACTCTCAGGTAGAGAGGATTGCTCCCTCTGTTCAAAACTAATAGCATCTGGCTCATCACCAACTATAGCTGGCTCATTCATATCCCCAAGTTTTGTTTCTTACTCAGTTTCACCATCTGTGACTCTTTCCTGTGAAATCTCTGTCGATGTTGAAACATCACACTTAACAATAATCTGTGTAGTCTTTTCATTTTTCTCAAAGTTTGCTATGGTTTCTTTTTCATGAAAGACCACATCCCTGCTTCTGACTGTCTTTCTCTTTACTGGATCCCATACCCTGTAGCCAAATTTCTCATCACCATATCCTACAAACACACACTATATAGCTTTACTGTCAAGCTTTGATCTCTGCTCTTTCGACACATGCATGAATGCTTTACACCCAAAAACTTTCAAGTGAGAGTATGAAGTATCTTTTCTGTCCACACTCTTTCTAGAATGTCAAAGCCCAAAGGAACTGATGGTGACCTGTTAAGTAAATAACAAGTTGTGTTGACTGCTTCACCCCAGAATGGCTTTGGTAATTTTACCATCCTCAACATACATCTGACTTTTTTCATCATGGTGCGATTCATTCTTTTAACTATACCATTATGCTGCGGTGTTCTAGGTTCTGTCCTCTCATGCTTGATCTCATACTTTGAGCAATACTCTTCAAAGTCTTTAGATGTGTATTCCCCACTATTATCAGTTCGAATACACTTCAAGGGTAACCCTGTCATCCTCTCAACCATGACATGAAATTTTTGAAAATACTACAGTACCTGACTTTTGTATTTTAACATATACACCCAAGTCTTACGTGAAGCATCATCAATAAAAGTAACAAAATATCTGCTACCACCTAATGACTCAACCTCAATGGGACCACATACGTCAGAATAAATTAATTCTAATATATTTTCTTTTCTCTGAAAACTTTTACGAAAAGAAACTCTATGATGTTTACCAAACAAACAATAATCACATGAATCGAGAGACATACCTTTGGTCAAGGGAATGAGAGACTACCTTGCCAAAACCTGTAGCCCTTTTTCACTCATGTGTGCCAGCCTCCTGTGTCACAAGTTTGTTGAAGCATCATTTTCAACGATATTTACCTGGTTACCGTTCAATTGCATCCATGTCTTATACATTGTGCAGCATAATTTTCTCCTTGCAACTATCATAGATCCTTTGAGAACCTTCCATTATCTATTCTTTTGTCGACTTTCATATCCCTCTTTATCAAGGACATTAATAGCAAGCAAGTTTATTCTCATATCTGAAATGTGTCTGACATCCCTCAAAGTCAACATGCAGCCTGTACTAGTTTGTACAACAATATCACCAATCTCAACAATCTGTGACACACTCTTGTTTCCCATCTTGGTACAACCAAAGTCTCTACTTTGTAAGTTGTAAACAACTCTCTCTTAGGAACACAATGATATGCCGCTCCTGTGTCAACTATCCACTTAATGCCGGGATCACTAACATGATTACAATCACTATGTGTACAAATCAAAGTAACTAAATCACTATCTGAATTCACTGCTGCAATATTACCATCATCTGAACTCTTGCCTTTCTCATCTTTTCGCTCTTGCTTTAAGATTCGACAGTTTCATTTTATATGACCTGCCTTACCTCAATGGAAACACTTCACTTTACCTCTAGACTTGGATCTATGTTTAGACTTACCACGGTCTTTTGAGTCCTGACCTCTGTCGATGTTTCTACCCCTGTTCTCTATGACTAGAGCTTAATTCTCAGGGTCTACATCTTTTCACCTTGCTTTTTCATTAAGCATACTGTCATTTACCATCTTCAATGTCGCCTTATAATCAGGAGCTGAATTAATAACAGTCACAACTAAAGTATTCCAACTGTCTGGCAATGAACCCAAAAAAAATAACGCCTTCATTTCATCATCCATCTTAAGCTCCATAGTAGTCATCCGATTAAATATATCTTGAAAATCACTCAAGTGCTCTGTAACAGATCATCCATCTCTGTACTGTAAAGTTGTAATCTTTTTAACAAGCATAACTTTATTCATACCTGTTTTTCTCTCATACAATGCTGCCAATTTTTTTCAAACAATGTGAGCATCTGACTCCTGCGCTACATGATAGAACACGCTGATATCAACCCATTTTTTGATTGTAGCTAGCGTCTTTCTACCTAGCTTCTTCCAGCTTTCATCTTTCATATCTGCTGGTTTAGTCGAATCACCCAATATTGACTCATACAAATCTTTGCAGTATAGATGATCCTTCATCATAGGCTTCCAAATTGAATAATTCGATACTGTCAATTTTATCATGGAACCTGTATCACCCTCCATGATCTCAAACAGAATTTACTTCTATCTTGGGTTGCTTCTGTATCGATGTCTCAAAATAACCCTCGCTCTGATATCACTTGTTGCGCCTGAAGCAATAATCACAACAATACAGAAGCAATAGACAACAATCAATAATCAAATACGCAGGAAAAATAAAGCACATCAAGATTTACGTGAAAAACCCTCCAGTGTAGAGGAAAAAAACCACGGGCCATCAGAAAAATCTTCACTATCAAATAATAGTTATACAAAGTTCTTATATAGCTAAAACTAGAGCTAATCAACAACTAGAGAAACAATTGGAGAAATCTCACCAAATAAGTGACTCAACAAATACACCCTGAATTTGTTCCTAGAGAGCTTCAAACCCGATCTTCATCGTTCAGAATGTAGAACTCTGAATCATAAACCTCCTGACAAGGTTCTAACTCAATCGGACCACGGATCGACTTCCGTTTAACCAACTCTCCCTTCTCCTTTTTCTCTCTCTGTTTTTCCTGGCTTTTCTTCTTTCTCTGCTTGGTTTTCGACACACAACTAAAACAACCCCACATCTTTTTTATTAAGTAGCTAGGGCTCTGTGTAAAATAAAAGATCAAGGCCTATGACCTTTACTTGGTCCAAAACCACTTACATGGGATTGAACCCCATTTTCTTAACATAAAAAACTTGTATAAAATCCCAGGTGGTCAGATTCCATTTCTTTTCTTTTTCTTGTCCTTTTCCCTATCTTTTTCTCTAAGCCACACGAACATTTCACGTTTATAATGCTAAAAGAGAGAAGTTAAAGGGCCTTTATCTTCAACGATTATCACTTTGGTTCTTTTCCACAACTGTCGCTGTTAACACAGCTAGCACTAAAATGAATTGTGAAGTTGTCACAATTGCAAATCATGACCTTTTAGGCCCCATTTTAGAATGAACAAGAGAAGACAGAAAGGTAGTTTGGTATGGGCAATTGGGCATTGAAAAACAAAAAAAAAATAAAAAAAAAATTTCTGGCTCCTTTGGAGGAGGAAGTGAAGAAAAAGATACCTTAACTCATTAATTAATTGCTGTTATTTCTGATTTCATGGACCTTCCACATACCAAAAACTGTGGGAAATTATAAGATTGTCCAGAGAGGAAATTAATTATAGTGCAGGCAAAACCTGAGAATACATTGTCTGTATTATCAAAAGGATTAACTACTATAATGTGCCATAAACAAAACTGACTGCCTGAAAACAAGGATTAAATTGATCACTTGAGAAAATGTTTACTACGCTGGAAATTAATTAAATACCATAAGTAAAATACTGCTAATTACTAGTACTATGGTCCTTCATTTTTATAAGCCTGAACAACAACGACATGGTTATTCATTCAGTTTGTTCCTTGCAAAGTTGTCAAGTAACGCTAATAGGTCTGATAAGGAGGGTTGCTGGGGATGACTTTTTTTCTTCTAAAGCCGGTCTTGGGGCTGCAAGCGTGAGATCCAGATCAAGCACCACATTTGAAGACATGGATTCTGCTGCATTTGATGTTTTTGTCTGAGAATCAGTGAATCCATGCTGCAACTTAACGGGCATGGCATGATGATGGTGGTGATGCAAACCTAATTGAGGAATTGTACGAGTAATTTTAGGCTGGGAGTTAACATGAGGTCCAACCATGCTACTGCTTCTAACCTGTCATATATGTTAAGAACAAGAAATATAATCTTTAGATGGTTTCATAATCCATGGTTTTAATTAATTAGAACGTGATTAGGAAACAAACTGGAAATTACACCTAGAATTGAAGAAAAACAGTACGTACGATGTCAAACAAGCTGGAACGTCGCTTCTTCTTGTTGAGAGTTGCCTGTCGAAGAAAATACTTTTGAGCATGACTTGCAACTTGGGTTGGAGTTCTTGTAGTCACAAAGTTTCTAGAGATGCCTCTCCAGTCTCCTTTCCCCAGCTTCTCCAGCCCAATTAGAAATATTCGGTGTTCGTCTTCTGTCCAGGGAACTCCTACACATCCAAACCATGTGTGCAATAGTTCTGGTTATCTAAGACTAGGAGCTTGCGTTAATTTCTAGGAGAAAATCTTACCAAACAGAACATAATATGAATTTATTTGCTTCTCTTTTAATTAGTTTCTTTGATAAAAAAATATAAAAAAGTATTTCATCGTATAAGTAATTGATGATCAATTTATAGTCAATCAACAGTTTGAATAAATGTGGTGAAATTATGAACAGAAGCAACGTCATAAAGATAAACCAAAATCGATGCCAAAGAATGATGAAAATTAAAGAACTGACCTTTCTTTCTGTCCGGAGATCGACCCATGAGACCATCAGATAGATAACCATTGGAAGTTTTATCAGAATTTTCATCCATGGAATTAACTCTAGAAGGAGACAAAGAAGAAGAAGGAGAGGGAGATGAGGGAGAGGCAGAAGACAAGCAGTCCATGCTAAAACTCTTCTTCATATTGGCAACAGATGATGAAGATATGTCAAGTTGAACACCAAAAAGCCTAAGTCCTCCCACAACAGTCCGTCTAAAAGTGGTGCAGGTCCTTGAATTGTGGCCTATGTTTCCACAATGTGAGCATTTCCTGCCCATTTCTTTCCAGACAAAGAACAACTTCTCAGACCAACAACCAACACACCCAAAGATAACAAACTCAGAGAGACAGAGAGAGAAAGAAAAAACAGAGCTAATTACTGATATGTTTGGTGGTATATATGATGATGGACTAGGTGTGGGGTTTATGAAAATGGAGGCATACCTAGAGCAGATGATTGGATGGATATAGTTTATTGTTGGATACTTTTCCAACTTCGGTTCAAAACAAATGAAAATACAATATCAAACACTTCTTTTTCTAGAATCTCATCATATTTATCTCATGCTCGGCATCTTTCTTTTCTTTTTCATATCCGGAAAATGTAGCTAGACATGCATATTATAGTTGGGACCCCTGAAAATACTCTGATGCAATGGACAAACTCTCACTCTAGATGAGTATCAGTCTACAACTCTACATACACGTATACGTATATGCGTATAATTTTCCTCTAATCGCTGACTGAGACAAATAATAGCATATACAAATCAATAGTGTTCATTCCTCAACTAACAAAAACATAAAAACTATCAAGGAATATGAGAGACAGAAAGGGGAGGGGGACAAGATCCTCCAATAGTTGAAGGTATGGGCAGTTAGACTTAGATGACTTGAGAGAAGGGATAAGAAAATATCATAGAAAATCAGATGTTTGAAAGTTTGATGTTGATCAACCAACATAAATCTATGGGAATTTCAATAAAAACTAAACTCATGTTGTCAACGTCGAGGTAGAATAAATGAATTAAAACCCATTTAAAATATTATACTTCCCTTTTGAATGTTTCAATTCCTTGTTTCAGCAAAATTCTGGGGAGACACTACTGAATTTTTTTTTTGTAAGTCAAAACATAGAAAAATAGGAAATAAATTCACATTCTATTTTTTCCAAATAGTTGAAACCAATTGCTAAAAAAAAAAAACACGGATATTAGATGATTATCAAACGTTTCCCTTTTGTCCTTTACTTGGGATTGAACCGACCATATTAACTGAGAGTTGAAAATCTTTCACATTGTGTACATAGCAATCGTGCTTACCGGGCGGCCAATAATCAGATTATCCCATTGATATATTAAAAAAAAAAAGTCTCACCTAATTCTTCTTCTTCTTCATTAAAAACTATGGTTCAAAGAAATTGATAGCAGACAAAAAGAAAGAAATTAAAGAGGACAATCTCAAACTATTTGACATGATCCCACAATATATATATATATATATATTTATTTATAAATCTTTTTCCAGTGTAATTTCAGCCCATGACTTAGGCAAAGATACCATTCGCCACTAACTGAAAATGGAAGGGAGAGAATAGTATATTCCCTTTTTTATAATTAAAATAGTATATTCCCTTTCCCGATAAGTAAAGTTTAATGAATTAATTAAACACTAAGATGGAGATCATTGATATTATATTATGTTATATTATATTATAGTGGATAGATATCTTACCCAACTAGCATTGGTCTTATAATAGAGTTATTGATTTTTTTTTTTTTTTAACAAAGAAAGATGATAAGAGAAATGGTTGTAAATGTTAAAATTTAAATTTCATATTTATTAGATATCACATAGTATTTATATGAATCAACTGAATTAAATTTTAAATTTAAAATAAAATTATTGATTATTATATTTTTGTGTTTTAAATTTTAATTATTAATATTAAAAATTGAACATTTTACTAGTAAATCATACGATTGTTGATATTATTATATTTAATTATATATAGAGCAAGTTGTTTCAAAGATATTAAGCTAATGGGGTTTAATAAATCCAATGCATGGACAAGTTGAAGAATTCATTAGTCATCTGTGATTGACATAGAAAACAACTCCAATTGCAAATTTTCAAATAGACTTATTTGGCATTATCATAAAAGGGAATCTCTCTTCTTGTAAAAGATAAGATAATGCTACCAACATAGTTTAGTTTCTTTTCCTAATGTTGTTCTTGTTTGACTTAATATTACTTGTTATAGCAAGTGCATAATGTTAATTATTTATAATAACTATTTGAGATGTGAGAGATCAATAATTAATTTCATTGCTTTATTTTTTTATGTGAAGGAGACCAGACCATAGGATACATCCTAGTCTACTTTAGAATATTTAACTAAGAAAATTAATATTAATTGTTCACGAAATAGTATTAAATTCTTTTTTACCTACCCTTTCCTAGCTTAATATAAAATCACAGCCCAAAATTGAACTCAAAAAGTTCAAATTTTTGTTATAAAAAGAAGCACCAACTATGTATTTATAATCCATTCATAAAGGTTTTGGATTTGATGAGATGCCTCCAATCATCTAATTATTAACAAAGGGTAAATGCCAAAATTTCATTAATTTTGATTGCTTAAAAATATCATCCAAATCAACTTTCATTTTAATTTCATTTGTACTAAAGCATGAACTAGCTAGGGCTTTGTGTCACTAATCTAAGGAAGAGTCTTGAATTTCATATCGAACATAATAAGAGAGTCATTTTGATATAAAAGGGTTCACACCACTTCTATCTTGTCAGGTACTTTTTATAAGATAAAATCGTGAGGTTAAGGGGATCAGAGCGGACAATACCTCACAAGGGTGTGAATCGTGACGGTTAGACTGATCTGAGACGTCGGATGAGTGGATGTCCGAGTCTCAAAACTGCACAAATTCTAAGCTTAAGTTTCGACCCGTGACATTTATACTAGCCATATATAGATCATGTTTAAGGTAAGATCTGCTTTGAAATTGCTTTCTTACACACCCAATAACCAATGACTTTTAAAGTTGTATATTTATCAGCTGCAACCAAAAAATAAAATAAAATAAAATAAAGCAGTGCATGATATGTGGTGTTTGATCAAACCTCTTCATTTAAGAATGTAATAAAGGGCACTTTGTTAGAAGCCAATCTTGGGCACAAAGAAAATTTAATGGGAGTACTACTCCAATGTTTTTTTTTTTTTTAATTTTATATTCAATTGGATGCTTTGCTAAATTTTTTAATGTTATATTTATATTTTTAAAATGTGTAATATGATATTAATATTATGATTTCGTCTATCAATGTATTACATGTGGTTAACATTATTAAAAAAAATGGATGATGATATTATCATCTAATCAAATGATAACATGTGATATATTTTACCAAATTATCTTACCATATTGTCATTTGAAATCATATTAAAAATATGAAGGTGGTGCTGATGTGGCATCCATGTATTATTTAAAAATAAAAGTAATTATAGATAAAACTATTAATTCTTTTTCTCTTTTCCTTCATTCATTCTCTCGATTTTCTCTTTTTTAAGTGAAATATGTCACGTGCGAAAATATATCATGTATTATGATGTAATTAGATAACAGTCACATCATCAAAGTTAACGGTGTTAACTTTGGGTACCACATTTATAGACGAAATCATAGTGCAAATATTATATTACAAAATTTAAAAGTATCTGTACCACATTGAAAATTTTAGTAAAATGCACAGGGCAAATATGATATTAACCCTTTTATTTTTTCTTGTCCAGAGGTTTGCTTTAAATATCTCCCCCACCCCCAATTGCCCCCAAGAAATTAAGATTGTGAAGGCAAGATTAATGTACAATTAGTAGCACGTTTATGAGATGGAGAGATGGATATTCTGATGGCTTGAGAAGCATGATTTTACGAGAGTTGATGATGAAAATTAATCCAAAACAAAAGAAAAAAAATTCTGACAGAGAAACAGGGGAAAAGAAAAATCTTCGGTTTGTGGGTCCAACTGCAAGGAGGAGCTGTCTTCTCAAGCATTTATGCTGTTTTGTAGGATCCACTTCTCCAATCTTAGCTTAAACATGAAAATCTCAAGATGCTTGAAAATGCAGGCAACTTAGGATTTTTTTTTTTAAAATTGTTCATAAATTGGTTGTGTCACACTCAACCAGAAGAGGTGAGTAGTACTCTTTTGTCTCCTTTTCCATTTAATTAATTGCATCTCATTTTTTATTTTTAAGATTTCAATTTTTTTAAAAAATTATAAAATATAGTACTTTTGTTAAATGAATATTATGTTTATAAGTAAATTATGAATGAATCATATATATATATATATGTATATATAGAGAGAGAATTATTTTAAGATTGTTTGAAAAAAAATAAAACGTTAATAATTTTTTTTAAAAAAATTTTAATTTTATGATTATTAATCTTAAAAATTAAATTTGATAATATAAAAAATGATACGATAACATAAGATGAATATGACATGAAAAAAAATATAAAATTACATAATTTAAAATTTTAATAATAATTATATATAAATTTAATAAAATAAAAAATATTATATATTTTTATTTTTATATAAATTATAATACGTAATTTTTATATAAAATATAATTTAAATATATAAATTTTAATATTTTATATAATATGAATATACATTAATAGTTAAATTTACCAAAAAGAAAGCATATTCTTTTGTGATATTAACATGGGAAAAATGCAATGAATCGGGGGCATAACCACCACGAATGTCGCATTCAATTTCAGGACCTTAACCACTAGCTATACCTACATAACATAGGATGCATGCAAATTGCTTCATCATCACATTCAGACCAAAATCTTTTACTGTTTCACTGATGTTTCATTAACAAAAAATAATAAAAAAGGGAGGGGGTAAGATTACATCATAGATCAACTAATCCAAGTTCAGGAACTGCAGCAATTGTTGAATGTCTAATGTGAAAGCACTTTCATATCTTTGTACTTGAAATAATTTAATGTCACTGATTTTGAAACATTGGGTGATCATTTTACATGAAGACAAAGAGAGAGAGGTGCTGTTCTTGCTCTGTAGTGGTGGTAGGTCAAAGAACACCAAGTAAAAGAGAGAGTTCAACAAAGCATCGTATTGAAAAAATATGTAGATATAATCTGATATATATGCAGATATTTAAATTTAAAATTTATGAGATGTTTTTTATGAGATAAAATCATGAGAATAATATCTCATAAATCGAATACGAATCATTAGTAACTTTTTAAAGGGAAAAAAAGGAAGAGAAAGTGGTTTGTTTTCATCAAAAAAGAAACCTGCTATTTCTTCAGAGCAAAATCATTCTTTACCACGAAGGCAAAGCACATCATGCAGATGCTATTGGCTTTGTTTCAACAATGAAAGTGGCGTGGAAACTATGAAAGAAAAGGACCATGCTTGCATATAATAGTTATTCTCTAAAACTACGATTTCATCATCATCAATCTCAGAGTTTTAAGTACTTGTTCTCAATAATTTATCCAAAAACCAAATTGTTTAGAATACTTGATGTAACTATGGCAGAATATGCAAAAGAAAGATGCTGGAGCCTCTTCATTCATTCAATAAACTAACAGAGCAAACTTATGGAACACAAATAAGACAACTTTGGCCATGTAGTACATAACTACAAATTTAAAAGAAAAGAAAATTTCCAAAATTGTACTCTAGAGGTTGAGAGCAGATGCACAAGACATATGTAGTATATTAATGGTTGCTGAAATCTGCTTGATAAGAATGAGGATTATATCTTAGCCAATAGGCTGGTAAACGTGTTGTTGAATGTGATTAAAGCAGTGGCAGCTTCACTCTATGTAATATACTGTATCCGAGAACTACAGATTAAACCTCTCTGAAAGAAGCCAGAGCTTCTTAGACTGGTATTCATGCTAGAATGCAAAGCTTGAAAATGTGGCAGTCATATAAAATCTGCATAAAACACACCCAAAAAAATAGTCCAACTGCACGTATTCCAAATCAATAGTTAAACATATAAAGCTATTGTATAATAAATGGATGTCATTCAAGACTTTTATAGGACGAAAGTGTAAATTGTAGTAACTGAAAAACACATACAAATACACAAAGGTCAAAGGTAAACTGAAAGTC